TCACTGATGCGAGAACCCGGCGCACAAAGGGTGCCGTGCAAAAGGAAAGTCGATAACGATTGACCGGTAAACGTATTGACGAGGAGCATCGACGCGAGGTCCAAAGCGAAACGGAACGAGAAATCGTGGCGAACATGAGACCAAATACGCTACGGCATTGCCACGCGAATCGTCAATCCAAACTTTCCACGTAATCCAAGTTAGACTACGATCGTACCTACGACTTTGACATGGAAAATTTATACGCGTCGAAACACGTAAATATCGTCCACGTGATCATCGCCAAAAATTCGTTCCCATCCGGTTCCTCCCCGGCCACAATTCGGTCCATGTTTTCCCAGAGGATGATCCTGTAACCCCGTTTCCAGTTGGTATTGCGATAAATTAACGCGGTTAAAGAGACACCAAGTTACGTATACAATTATCGTAGACGACGTAACTGCCGAGGGAATCGGATGACACGTGTTTCGCTCGGTTAAATGGCGCAACCTCAAAACTAGATAACTCCGTGTCAATTTAGCGAACGTAAATAGATTGAAGGGATTCGTTGAATTTCAACCAAGTTTCCGAAGCACGTAAGAAACATACGATACTTGCGGAGCAATGACCGTAATCGTATTAACGTCGTCGACGATTGGCCGTACCTTAAAACTGACGAATCGAAAACTACCCCCGACTCGACCTCAAAGACGCGATACGAATAAACGCGGCGAGACAGCGGTGTACCCGAGTGTTTTGGAGCTTGTCCATGTAACAAATATACGGAAAAGCCATTTATCGAAGACACGTTTACAGTTTTCGAATAAAAAAAAAAAAAAAGAGAAAAGAAGACTTTTAAGGGAACACTCGGATTCGTAAGCGAACATTCGCAGATAACGAATGCAACATAACGAAGGTAGCGAACGAAGAGTGCGCGGAAAGGGAATTCACGTGTCTTTCCATTAATCTCTATCGGCACTGGTTGAAAACGGGTTGCACCACGGCTTGCGCCCAAAATCAATACGGCCCTGCGTGTAATCGCATTTCCCATTATTAAAGATGCTTGACTGGTATGTACAAATGCGATTGTTCCTGTAGTGTACCGCGTTGATAAATATTCCGAGAATGCGAGGAGAACCAACAATCACCGGATAACGACGTCGCTCGTGTCAGCTTGTACCGATGAACGACGGAGACGACGATGCTTTTGTTAGAGGCAAGCACGTAGCCTGCATTAGCGTTACACGACAACGGTTATAGTAGCTGACAGAATTCCAAGAAGTCAAGAATCGACGGTTGGTCGTTTCATCCTAGAGAAAAAATCTGTCCTCCCTACGTATATTATCGGGACTACGACAATGGCTGGAATTTTTGGATCCTGCGAATCGATTACAGATATACTTGGACACACGAACCGCGAGACCCTGTTAGGAGTTTAACGCACCTTCCACAATTTACCCATGCGTGGAACGCCTCTATTTTCCCCCGTCTACATTTATCGTTTACCAACTAGGTACATTGCGTAAAACACTTTGGTAATATTACGAGATAAAACAGATTTCACGGTTGGTAATTGTTCCTTTGATGCTCGACCTTTTTCTACCGTGCGGACACCGGCGTGTTCCCTTATATATTAATCGAGAACGCTTTTATCTCGTGACCACCGAGGATATAGCGTCACGAGGAAAGTTCATATTATGATCGTCGAAATGATTTGCAGCACAGTGTCAACGGTGTCGTCGACACTTTCGAGGTTTACGTGTGCTTCTGCGTGCGCATACAAATATTTGATGCACACGTACTTACGTGGCTTCGGACTGTCCGAAAATTCAATGCCCCCGTCCATACCGATACAGGGGAGAGATTTTAATCGCACCGCGAACCTAACGAATTTCGATCTCGATACGCCGTGTTACAGGGGTTTCTTATCGAAATTGTTTTCTAACTCGGGCTATGTTGATGAGTCACACGTCCCATGAATGAAAACTCTCTGACACGCTTCATTCTTACGTTATCCTCGCGCCGCTCGAAAATCATTCGGTTCGCCGGAAATGAACGTTCTAGAAATGATACGGATACGTGCTTTTTTTTCAAATTTCCGTTCGATAAAATGCGTATATCGCTTCGAGCGATAAAGCACGGAGAAAGAGAAATAATGGATGAAACACGCTCCGACTACATATTTGTATTGAAATTACAGACGTACACCATGCTTGTTACGGAGGGTAATGAACCCCGTTAGTTTGTATCGGTTTACAGAGAAAGAATCGACTGCTGAAATATACATATATCGGTGAAAGTAAGCAGTAGCGTTCATTGTACTCACCGCAATGCAGTGACCTCCACGCTTGTATCATGCAGAGCTTCCCTCCTTCGTCGCAGCGAGACTCGTGAAACAGGGGTTGAACAAGGGCTGCTGTTCGTGACAGGAACCACCGCATAACCAACAGTCACGTTTCTATCAGCACATCGGTTCGTAGAACGGTCACTTTCTACACCGCACCACACGCGTTCCTATCAAACCAACGAAAACAAACTACCGCTTACTTTGTAAAGAAACATCAGCAGCCGCAAGAAACGCGGAAACGGAAAGTTTTTCGAGCTTGCAGGGCCGCCGAATCGATGTGTGATGTTACACTTCCCAGCTGTCTTTTTTGATTCTGCGGATGTGCCCGCCACTATCGCCATCTGACGACAACACTTCCAACTATTCCGTTCACGAGCCGCCGCGAATATTCAAATGATTAACCAAAAATCGACGACCAAGTATTCCAATCTAGATACCTGTAAACGCGGATATAAAAATAATATCGAAGTAGTTATGACACAAAATGTGATTATAGGGATATAATGAAACTATTATCTTTTACAATAGATTACGCAACATGGTATAATTTATTTGTATATATAGATTTATTTTTCCACAGCATTATTTAAGAACATAAGTTAGTTTGCAATCATAAGAATATATATATATATATATACATAAATATAAATATGTATATATATATGTGTATATATATATATATATATTGATCGTATAATTAATTCTTAATTATTACGATGTGTAACTTCGCCGTATTTCGATAATAATGAATAATCGCAAAAACTAGCTTACAAACATTTTGTTTACAAGTTCATCTGTCACAAGTACAGTAAAAATGTATGTACCTTGTAATCGATATATTACAAGAAATATGTTTATATTTACATACAATCTAAAGAGAGGTAAATTGGAGTTAGTCACATATTTTTGCAAGTTACGCAGATACATGTGGATAAGCTGATAAATCATGTCTGTAGTATGACGTTATGAAGAAATTAAGTCACTGTATTTGTGAGCTCGCAACAAATTATCTCATATAACATTTTAATAAAAATAATAAATAAAACTTGGATATCCTATATTACTCAGTAATATATGCGAATTCTAAGGTAAATAATAATAACAATAACAATAATGATAATAAAAGAACAATTCAGTAAATATCACGAAACGTGGGAAACTAACAGTCTTAGCTTTTAACCCAATTAAATCACAACTTAGTGTTAGGAAAAATACTACGATTTCCAAGTAATGTTGGCTTTTTAAAAAATATAATACGTTGAAATGCATTGTTCCATTTTGAATATAATACGTTTATCGTGTAAATGCAAGAAGCCAAATTTTCGTCATTAAAAAACGTCCAGCGTATAGAAAATCGAAAATAATCATAATTTAAGGCCACAAAATTTTTGTCGTAATAATAATATTTACTATCTAATGGGACGTATCTGTTTACAATAAAATAAGCTGTACAAATAGGATGGAATGTTTCATTAGCTTTAAATGCTAGATATTCGTTTAGAATACTTGTTACTTTTTTGAAATAGCTATTATTATACAAAGTACGCATTTACAAGTTTGATCACGATATCTTCGAATAATCAATTTCATAGATAATACACCATTTTTAACGAAAGAATGGACTATGTCCACTTTTTCGTAAATTGCTAAAATATATAAATAAATTTCGCTTTTTAAGCAATTTGATGTATATATTCTTTTATCTTATTTAATGCTATATACAATGAGCTAAGTATAATATGCTTTCCATCATCAGTTCTTAGAAGAACACACAAGAAGAACGCTGTCCAATACGAAAAATTTTCGATTTGTTATACGAATAAACTATGTAACAGATACGTCTGTTCCAAAAAATAATTTATTTTTAATTATATCTATGTTAAATTAAATGATGTCTTTTACCATAAATTTATAAATTGATCGAAAATGAAACAAATTACGTATTTCACACTGTCTGTTATTCTTCTTGCTACATCTTCTAATAGAATAATTGATTTCCCAAAACTTTCTGTTTATACATTTTTGCAACTATATATATATATATATGTTTTCAAGAAACAAAATTTTCTAGCCTTTGTTACTACGATAGAAAATCCTTAAAGAGGTTTCTAAACATGCGTAATACGTGAGTCTTTAAAGATTTAATTTCTTTATATAAAAACAAAATGTGAAATTATTACATTTACAATTTCAAACAAATTATTGATTTAAAAAATAGTGTTTAATTTCGTGGAAAAATTAGAAATCGTCATTGAAAGCGATCTCGTTTTAGTAAATTGTGTTATAAAATTAGACCAAAAAAATACGTATATGTGTATAATATTAAAATTCAAATCAACATTGCACAACAATTCATCGTAAATTATAGCGTCATTGTATACAATATAATTTGACAGATGTTCATTTAACTTGAATGTAACTGAAATTCGATATATTTGAAAATCATACTAAATCCTACGTAACAAAATTTAAAACTTCTTTTCTCGTCCATTATATATTTTAGTATAATTTAACTTTTTAAATATGTAAACTCATATTATTTATAAATTCTTTTAACAAGGCATTTTATCAACAAATTGAGATAAGTAATTAATATATAGATTATTATCTCTTATCTTAAGTTATTTACAATTAATACCAGATTAATGTTTTTATAGCAGCAAATAAAATTTTCCCAAAGAACACTTTTAAAGTGTAGTAACCATCAAAATATGGAATTACATTTAGAATGTGAATGAGTTAATAAATTGTAATTCATCAATTGCTGAAACAGCATTTGAGATTACTATTAACTTTTTTCGTTCTGTTTGTTAAATATAGCCTATAATTTCTAAAGTGCATCATGCGTAAAATTTTTTCGAATTATTCGTAGAGGTTAAGTAATATCTAAACGTACTTTTCATTGATTTGTCTTAATGTTGTAACTAGCAGTCAAAAGACACCTAAGTCTTCAGAGTGCAGAAAAATGTTTATCCTGTTAAATAGTTAAGTTAATATTAGACAGTATACATGGTTGTGTATCTATATGTATGTATATATGTACATTATATTACAGATATCATCATGAAAAGGGGTATTTCGTGCTAATCCACTCCAGCAAAACCTTGAGAACCTTCAATTGCTTTTATCAATTTCTCTCTCAATTGTTGATAACTTTCGTATGGAGGGAGATCTATACGATTAAAACTGAAAAGGGTACATAAATCATCAGATATAACTCTACACTTTCTTTGGTTTCTTTTTTCAAATTTTTCAAATGAGAAAGATTACTATAATTTTTAATCCATCTTACTTTAACAACTACGCGTAAGATTAAACACTATGTTAAAGTTTACATACCAGGTATGAGCTCTTGGATAATTTTCTGGTGTACCCCACTTCTCAATTGTAAATAATTGTGGACCATTGCTACCATAAAGTTCTTTAAAACCATTCATAGGTACTCGCGATGTACCAGTAACAAACTGTAAAAGTCTGGATCTCATTTCATTGCTAAATGAAAGTACCACACGCCAAAACCACTGAACAACGATGTGATTAGCGTGATAGTCTCCTTTGTACAATGTGTTTTGTTTCCAATCTCTCACATCAATATGTTGAATACCACACATTAATAATTCTAATTCATTTTCATCAAATATTTTTACTAGTGTTGGTGGTATAAGAGCATTAAATCCTTCTAAAAATGCATTCATTTGTTCTTGAACCCTTGATACAAAACGCCACTGTATAACTAAAGCTATATATTCATCTTTATTTTCGTCTGTTAATGGTATATTAGCACCATCTGGTTTAAGTTCTCTTTGAGACGTATGTCCAAAACTTTCTTCATCCACACAAAACGTAAGTTCCAATTCACTGGGATCGTTTTCTTTAATCCACAATAATGAATTGTAATATTCTGAATCAACGCTTTCCATATCTTTCAAATCGATAGATTTACCTAACATCATTTTATAAAATGGACGAATGAAAAATGCTGTAAAAAAAGATAGGAGCTCCTTTTATATTTTTTCTTAATGAAATGTTTTATATCTTCTGTATAATTGAAATAATTCTTACCATCCAACAGTTTACCATGATACACAGCCATACCTGCTATGCGACCAATAAATTTGAAATAATTTAAATGTTCTTCATTACATACCCCCGAAAATGGATTAATTTGCAAGGTATAATTATCCCTACAAACATTTCAGTTATTATTATTTTTTGCATTTTATAGAATGCAAATGATTTTATACATAAATATACCTACGTAGCAGAATATTCAAATAATCCATAATAAGGATTAAACATTTCTTTAGACAATAGGAAAAACCATTCTCGAGCTAGACCTCCATAATCTAAACCAACTTCTCCTTCAAATTCAACCCATAATTTTGTTTTCAATATTTCTACTCTGTTGACAGAACTAATTATACGATACGAATCTTCTAGAATATTATTTCGACCAACTTTTATTTCAAATTTATTAGGAACATTACTCTGAAAAAAATATGGATGAAATATAAAAGAAATCTAATATGGATAAGTTTTGTACAATCATATACTTACAGGCTTTCTTAACTGAGATTTAAGATATTCGTATTTACGTTTATAATCTCGTGAATATGGTACGGCCTGTGAAAATATAGAAATATTAACAAATTAAATGAGTTATACTTCATATATCACAATCTTTGGACTAAAGAGACTCATACCGGTCCAGCAATTTGAGGATTGGACATGCGAGGATCTTCCCATTGTGTTGTTCTTGTATCTGCAGAGCAAGAATAGAAAAACAAAAATTTTGATCAAAGCCAAAATTTTCGAGCTTTACAAAATCTTGGTAGACATTCACATACTATGATCAATGAAAAATATTCGGCCATCCGTATGAACTCTTTCTTCCCAACCTTCAGGAAGAGGACCAAGCTGATCTAAATCACTTCTTGGTGTAGTAGAAGGAGCAATGTGATTAGGTATTGAACTTGGTCGCCCTGTTCGAGGGTCGATCCATGTTGTTGTCCTCGCAGTGTGATCAATGAAAAATACTCTACCGTTCGGAGCTATTTGCATACCCCACCCAGGTGGTAATCCCTCATCACTTGGCGCAGGAACCACAGGTTTTGGACTTTCGATCTAGACATCGAGTCAGTAACAGGAATTAGGGTAAATAATTTTTATAGTATTCGCTGTTATTATTTACAATAAAACGCTGTACTAACTTGTTCAGATGATCGTCTAGATCCAGCTGGACTATCCACACTATCATCACTCTGCAAGTACAATAGTAATATGTTTTCATACAACATGTACATGGATATAATTTCAATCTATTATTTTACAAAGAAATTTATATGTTATACACTTTCAACATTTTATAATGTATTACAAATTTGTTATCATTTTTGCGTAATAAACAACAAAATTAATCAAAATAGTGCAATATGTCAATTACAGAAATACAATTTTTGTTAACACTAAGAGTACTTTTTAGAAAGAATGGTTAGTTTGTAACACTCAACTGCATGGTGAAGTATTGTAATAAATGTTTTAAATTGTATTGGAACACAAAGTAATACAGACAGCAATGCACTACATGAAAAAAATATATAATCTCTGTTTACAAATTATAGCCTTTATTTTCGTCAAATAAATGAACACATGTAAATAAAAACAGCTTATACAATTGAAAATAATCATATCTATGAATGAGTACCTGGTCTTCATATTCACTAAGGTAGCCACGTTGATCAACAGAATGTCCAGAGTCTGACGAAGTATCCCCACTACCCCCTCCCCTATGATTCTCAATCTCATAATTTCTCGCATCCGAATCTTCGCCATCCTCACGGAGAACTTCACCATCCTTACACACACATGCACAAAATTGCTACATACTGCATGCTAAATACTCTATTTGTTAGAAGGTTTTTATACTGTTTAGACATTTATATTCATATTTTTGTCTTTCAATAATTCATGCACATCTTGACAGTTAACAGTTATCTATTAAAGCACATATCTATAGTTAAACAGAGTATGATGCATCTATATATGTTAAATGGGGTTACGTAAGCGTTTGGTTATAAACTTTTTATTAATTTACACAATTGAAAAGATAATATACAAAGCAAAAAATATATATAGCAACAATTTCTAATCTACTCTCACCTAAAGATATAAATATATTTTTATTATTCAAAAATATATTAAATGTAAACTTGGGTTTTGTGCGTGTGTGTGTATCTTTTTACACACAACAAGTCTATATAAACTCTAAATCTTAAAATAAAGTATAAGACATAATATTCTATTATAATACACAAATTTGAAAACAGATTCTAAGCTGACTAGTTAATAAATTCATTTCATCTTTTTCTTTCTTTTACGGTATTTATATTAATTATACAACCATCAATATTACCTGATTAATTGAAGTTCTGTGTCTATTTTCTTCATCGGCACTAATGTGAAAGCGACGTTGAAATTCAGTTACTGCAGTATTGAAATGTCGCTCAATAGTCATATTTCCACTAGGTGATGTAGTACTATAAGTAAATTAAAATATTTCTGCATTATTATTTATACTTATTACGCAATAAATATGTTGAAGCAGATATATATATATGTATATATCTGTTACATACGATTCTGATGGATGTTCCCATTGTGTAAATCTTGCTACATGATTGACATAATATGTTCGCCCATTTGCATCTTGTCTCTCTTCCCATCCTGGTGGTAAAGGTCTGATAATCATGACCTAAAAGAACATTCAATTAAAGTATTAGTTTATATATACATGAGTAGAGTCATCTTTAATATTTGTAGTTTAAAGTATAGATGTAACTGTGCATACCTCTGCAGCTTGTTCCACAGGACTATTATTTACTGGCTGTACCATTTCCCAGCCTCCTGAGTCTGATGCAGTATCTCCATTATCATTGTCCACAGTTGATGAGTCAGAAATGTATGCATGATATACTTCCAAGGTGCCTTTTACTCTTGAACGCTGACTGGAATGATTACTAGCCATATCCTCGTAAGTTATTCATTTTGCATTTGCAAATGAAAGATACAAAAGAAATATATTAATGAACTAAACATGAAAATCCATTATGGTGATATGGAGCCAATAAATATAACTAGATGCAAAACTGACCCAAAACATGTAACAGTGCATATAAAAATAATAAAAATGAAAATTAATGAATAAAAGTAATGTATTTCAATTATTTCTATTGTATATATAATATATAGTAGCTTGTAAAACCATATCTGTAGTTTGAGGCCAAATAATTTTAATAGGAAGCTAAACAGATTAAATTTTTAAAATATACAAAAATACACAGCTTTAAGCATATATTATAAAAATACTTACCTACGTGGTCGAAGTAAATAACGCCTAACAGGAATTGTACGACCTTCTTGTTCTTTAGGTAGATTAATCAATGTTAATTCTACCATACCAAGAAAATCATCCCTTGTCAATCTATTCTCATCAAAAACTTGTAACACCAATTTATGATCGACAGGTTTAACCTAACAATAAAGAATATATATTTTCATTAACATATTGAATTTATCTTGACATTAAATTATAATATAATCATACTTACTCTAAATATAAATTCTTCTTCCCAGACAGGATTCAATGTCTTTTTTTTAGTTTTCGTAAGTGCAGAGTCTATTGTCTGGTCGCCATTTAAAGTATTTAAATCAATACGCACATAAGGATCGCTTGCACCAAAGATGTCCTTTTTGGCTAATTGGTGACCAGCAATCACTTTTAATCTCAGCTTCCGGGTAGCTTCATCTCTCTATATACAATATCAAAAAACAAAACAAAAACATTAATTAACGCTAGATTCTCGAAATGTTAAATAGAAAAAAGTTAAACTTGTCATGTCTTTTGTTTCTATTAATAACTATGATAAGAATTTTCTGGTTAGTTTTATATAATTTATATAATAAATAAACAATTAACTATTTTATTTATATTTTATTTAATACATTAATTATAAAAACACAAAATATAAAGCACTACGAAAATAAATAAAGTTATACATAAAAAATGAAAGGAATATATTGTTTTTTAAGTTTAATGTAGATGGGTAATAAAATATAAAAATATTAATATTGATGCATTTTATCAATTTATTGATTGTTTTGATTAAAAAAATATAAAGATGATTCGTGCTACGATTATTAATAATATAAAAATTTTATTATTAACGCAATAATATTATTAATCATAAAATCAACAACTTTGAGGAAGTAACAATCTTTTTGAAGTCTATCAATCAAAAATCCAACCTGTACTTGTCAAACTGTCAAAATAGTTACGTACGGATTCTCCGTCAGCTCCAGACGTTGGATTATATCCATAAACATGTTCCTCTGCCATTAACGTTATGTGTATTCGATTTATTCTTAATCGTTGATGACTACTTTTTATAATTTTACTACGTTTACAGTTTCTTATATGCCATCAAGAAACCTATTTTGTCTTAACCCCTCTCGGTTACTATTGCACGAACGAAACGGATATGATATACTCGCGCTTAAAGATGGCTAACTTCCTTTTAAATATTCAAACGTGACTAAAATCCATTTCAATCATTTCAAATAAAAAAAAGAATCATTATTGTGTATATGTATATTTTACAAAGTATATTTTCCTTAATCTTTATCAATTTTATCAGTATTAGAACAAACAAAAATTCCAGAAAAGTAGATTACGAAACAATTTTAGATATCCTTGACACGAACAACTTCTAATGCGTCTGCGAAAATCTCTCCAAATTTTTCTAAATAGACGTCTTTCGTTATTAAATGTAGTAAGTTGAACGACGTAATCGAAATTGTAAGAATTTAGTTTTTCATCAAAACATTATTACAACGCTACCATTACGTTTTAACGATTAATGCGCATAAAAAGTGACTCACGTGTTTTCTAGTATATCTGTTTTATTTTTTTTTTTTTTTTTTACGGTTTCTTGAGTATCAAAGTATTGTTTTAATATCAGAGGGTCTTTGTATTGACATTAATAAGGATATTAAAATAAAATGTATGATAATAAGCTATATTGTTCAGTTGAATTTTCAGTTTAATATCATGAGATATGATAAGAATGAATAATTTCTAAGTTATTATCTCTTAAAATAATGCATTGTACAAATATCACATATACAAGGAAATATGATTATTTACATACTGCAGGTTCTGTCAATGAAAAGCGTCCTGGTCTTCTGTTAGCTTGCAATGCCCGAGATGCAGAACGATGCTGAGAATTCCAAGTATAAGCACGAGTTCTTTGAGGAGGTGATTCAACACCAGCATACATTGGGTAGGTCAAAGTACCAGGCATCTTGTGTTCTTAATCTTTTAATAATAGTTTTAATACATTAACACAAAGATTATTCACTATGATATTATATGTATTTTATTCTTTTTATATGTAATTTTATATAATTACATAAAGATATATAGTATATTTGAAATATAAATAATTATTGCAATTGCTTTTTATAATCTTTAAAAAAGAATTAAATTTCATTCGCATAACAAAACCTTTTGCAAGTACATTTTAAAGTATTTCATATATGCTTTTAGGTGCCACTAAGCATAGCGTAGATCATATAAATAAATAAAAACTAATTGTTTCTATTTGTTATATAATAAATTTATAAGATAACATAATAATAAAAAATTAAATAAATAAACGTACTAAATACTTGCATCTAAGATGAGTAATAATATTGATATTTAAAATAAATGTATATTAATAAATACTGATAATAAATCTTATCTGAAATTATTACCAAAAAATACAGAAAAAAGATACACGAAGATGTGATATATGTGTATATATATACACATATATATATACATTTAAATAAAAATTAACACTTTAATATAACACGTGCACATAATTCACCATTAACTGATTTCTGACTTATTTATATTTAAGCTACAAAAGACATAATGCGTGGTCGTCCATAACTGCAAAATCACTTATTTTCGATGCGAGCATTAAGTGTAAAAATCGTTTAAGATAAGGAATGCTTTAAATCATTAAAGTGATAACACGTATTTATTCAACATTCAACTACGAATTAACCAATACATTGGAAACCTCATAAACATATATATGGGTAATTACTCCATCAAATATTCTGGAATTAAATAAACAATTATGAAATTATAATGAATAAAAATTCATAACATATATTTATTACTATTTTAAACAATCGTTTGTTTCTAACAATTGTGATGGTATCAGTTATTGTTCATACAGCAATAAAACATTTGATTGTGTGTGATAATTTCAACTAATTTTCGTTCTTTTTATAGGTATGGTGGCGCCTTTAGTTACCGTCCGAAACAACTAACCTTTATCTGTCGTTAAATAGAAAAATGTTGAACATTTGTATCAAAGTCTGTTACTTGTAATATGTGACTACTTGACCCATGGAACTTAATATATGTATTTGAAATATTGTATACTAGACATGCATGTGTATTTGTAAATATGTACATACTATTCATGTTAAATGTAACATTAAGGTAAAAATATTGCCAAATTTATATTATGCATACATATACATGTACTTACGTTATAATAAATGTGTATTTAAATTTATTCTTGCACATTTTGTAGGTTAATAGAATTTAGTTAGAGAATAAATGTTATATACTCATATCTGAATTTTAAAAACTGTTAAAATGTTACGAAGACGGAATGTTAATATTAAAACTGTCAAAGAATTGGATGGATTTCCTAAAGTTCCTGAACCATATGTAGACAAAACTGCAGTTGGAGGAACATGTAAGTTTTTTGTTTTACTATTTACTATTCTAATTATTAAATATAATATCTTACTTTTACAAGTACAATTTTTACAATTACAGTCTCTATATTTACAATCTGCACTATTGCATATTTAATAATAGCTGAAACAAGTTATTATCTTGACAGCAGACTACAATTTAAATTTGAAACAGACACAGATATTGATGCAAAATTGAAAATAAATATTGATATCACTGTTGCTATGACATGTAGCCGTATTAGTGCTGATGTCTTAGATTCTACAAATCAAAATATGATTGGACATGAATCATTAGAACAAGAAGATACATGGTGGGAATTGACACAAGAGCAGAGATCTCACTTTGAAGCTTTAAAAAATGTGAATTCTTATCTAAGAGAGGAATACCATGCGATTCATGAATTATTATGGAAATCTAATCAAGTTACTTTATATAGTGAAATGCCAAAACGGTATATAAATCACATTATTATACCCATAATTGATACATATTATATAGATATATCAATACATCTTGCAGGACCCATCAGCCTAGTTATCCACCAAATTCATGTCGCATTCATGGTAGTTTAAATGTTAACAAGGTTGCTGGAAATTTTCATATAACAGCTGGAAAATCATTATCATTTCCTATGGGGCATATACATATTTTAACTTTCATGACGGACAAAGACTATAACTTTACTCATAGGATAAATAAATTTTCATTTGGAGGACCTAGTCCAGGTATTATTCACCCATTAGAAGGGGATGAAAAAATTGCTGACAACAGTAAGTTTGTATGAAATGTAAATATAAGTATTATAATATTTATAATTTATTTGAAACGAAATATATTTTAGATATGATTTTATATCAGTATTTTGTGGAAGTGGTTCCCACAGATATACAGACTCTACTGAGTACTTCCAAAACTTATCAGTATAGCGTAAAAGATCATCAAAGACCAATTGATCACCAAAAAGGATCTCATGGAAGTCCAGGAATTTTTTTTAAATATGATATGAGTGCTCTTAAAATAAAAGTTACTCAACAACGTGATACAGTGTGTCAATTTCTAGTGAAATTATGTGCCACTGTTGGAGGTATTTTTGTTACAAGCGGTAAATATCAATTTACTTGAATTATTTTGTGCCGTTGAAGATATTTTTTACAGAGAAAATTTTGTAGGTATGATAAAAAATATTGTACAAAGTTTTTGGTATATTTTGTGTTGCAAATTTTTTGCAACCAAAGAAAACAAAAATGACCAAAAGTACCCCATTCCACCTACTACTTCAAACTATCAATCGTTTGACACAGCAAATCTTCTGAATATTTCAGCTCCAGAAAATGTGGATATTGTGTTTAAACCTCAATAAAGGTAATCTTTTAATTAGATATTAAAATAACTTTTAAATATACGAAGCTAATAATCAATAAATATGTTTGTAACTGTTCTGTATATACCAATAAAATTAATAGCGATTTTATATTTATCAGCCGTGTATGTTCTTTTCTTCTTAATTTTTTAACACTGCGAATAACAACTATATTATTGTATATTACAATGTTAATTTGCAAACACCAAGCGTTTCATACGTATGCGCTTTTATGTTTACACTATCAAACAAGGATGGGAGGAACCTTCCCCTTCTCTTAATTTCCACCAATAGAATCATTTATGTGAATAGAGTACGAAAGAAATAGTAAGAAAGTAATCGTGTCTAAGTCACATTAAAAGTTTGATCGAAAAATGATATTTTATTTACATTTGTTAAATCGATGTTTCGATAATTTGCATTGTACGTAGCAAAAGTATCAGTTGATAGAAAATCTTCGCATGCGCTTGACAGAACTATTCGAAAGAACAAAGCTCATCCCACTGTGAAGCGAGATTGAATAAATACAAATCGTTTAGGAATGGCAGATATTAAACAAGATCATAAAACTGAGGATACTGATAATTATGGAATAGGTAATAGTACTGAACCAAAAAATATGCAAGAATTGACGGAGTATGTGAGTATGATATAATTCATTATTGTGATACTCTCTATTAATATTTCCATAATGTGACTGTCTATTCTTGTTTATATTTTTTGTATGTTTTAGGTACAAACACTATTACAGAATATGCAAGGAAAATTTCAAACAATGTCAGATCAAATTCTTGGAAAAAATATCCTTTTTTATTAGTTGCTTAAGATGCATTTTCTTAGATAACCTCAAAAATAAAGTGTGCATTAAAGTGTATATTTTTATAAGCATAATTTTTCTGCTAAGAAAATACAAATTATTACATGTGTGAAAAACAGTTTATTTAAGGGAGTTTATTTAACGTTTTCATAAATAATATTATAAATATCCTTAATACAAAATACTAGATGAAATGGGAAACAGAATAGACGATTTAGAAAAGAATATTACAGATTTGATGACACAAGCTGGTGTAGAAGGAGGTGACAAATGATTGTATTTATTATATTATTAATTTTGATATAGAAACAAAGAGATCTTTTACATATAACATATGTTATACTATACTAACAAATATTATTATACAAGAATGGTATTTGTATATTATTGGTATGAATTTTTGATCATTAAAACAATAAAATGACTTTTTTGTAATAATGTAGTGGTATAATGCATATTTTATTTCCTTTCTGTTTGTAAGTAAAAATATACAATACATTTCAGTGCTAGATAAATACTATTAGATCACCCATGCTTGATCATCATAGGCATTGTTAGAAATTTTTGATATACAGGAATTGGTGGTATTGTTTTGACAATAAGTCTTGTTGAATCCTTATATCCAGAATTAGCTTGCAATTCAATCTAGAATTGAACAAAATATTTTGGAGATAATAGATTATTTAGAATTACATAGATTTATGCCTGGTTCTCACAGGTTTCTCTTTAGTAGATTCAGACTCTGTTTCTTCTGAACTATCTCTAAATTCCTCAATCTGTACAGATTCTGAAGAGTTTGTCTTTAAGCTCGACTTTGCAGAATCCTACAAAAATATCCATTGCAGTTATAGCGTAAGCATTTGCATTGAATTATAACATACTGGTATACAACGATGATTGATTTATACTAACGATCGAGGTAGATTCGACTGCATGATTAGCTAATTTCTGAGAATTTGCGGGCGAAGACATGAAACGACTTGCCAAATTGGTAAGTGAATAAGACTGCCGAAATGAAGTTCGCCCAACGGTAGGCAATCTCGCAATAGAATCGGGTATATGCATTACTTCACGAAATTCCTGGAATTAATCATTGCTCTAATTAATTTAAAGGGTAGAAACATATTTCTCTACTTATATTTTAATAATTTATATGACAAGTTAATACTCAATAACTAGTGGAATAAAAAAATTACCCCATTCATGTTTCCTCTTATTATTTGAAAGTCCTGCGAGTAAGTATCAAAAAATAATACTAATTTAAGGTAATTTCAAGACTATACAACAGATCCAACATAAATATGTGAAAAATATTTTTTTACATTAGACTATGAATATTATTTAAGCAAAATTAGACTATGAATATTATTTAAGCAAAAGGTGGCCTACCTCTAAATCTTTAACTTCATCGATTTCTGCAATATCCTGGTAACCTTTTGTCAGTAATTCAAGAGTTTTTGCATGAAAACTTAGTTCAATGATAATAAAATCTAAAAGTACAGTTTTCAGATCATGCAATTTCCGCTTTTCGAATGCATCGATTTGTTCTTCTAAACCTTTAACAACTCTTGAAACTTCAACAGAAGCTTTCATGAGCTCAGATTCGGCTTGAGACTATGTTGATTTTTAAGAATTTAAAATAATTGTAAATTTTTAACACTGCCTAAATGTAATTAGTTAAATGCATTGAAATTGAATGTAAGGATACAATCATCTGTCTGTTTCTAGGATTTCGTTCCCTAAGCCTATCTAGATGTCTTTTTCTTGTCAATTCTTTATCGCGTGTTGTAAATGTATTTTTTACGTCATCGCGAGCGTGTTTGCAGATTGTCGCGTATTGAGAAAGTGGAGAAATTATTTTGGCATCAAATCTCTGCACTTTAGCGTCCCTAAAAATAACGAATAAAAGTTGTGATAATTTAAACAGTAAAATTAATCTTTTTTGTCTCTGTGATTCAACAAGAAAATACCCACCTATAATCCCCAATTACTGACAAAGTTGCAGAAAAGTTTGTTAATCCGTTAGATAATGATTGATTTATCGTTTCCGATTGAGCGTAAGTTTCGATAATTTTTGCTATTTCATCTCCTTTATCGCGTAATCTAAAAGTACATTACATAAATTTATACACAGAAAGATAAAGTACCATAGAAGAGAAATAATCGATATGTACAAGATCAATAGAAGCCGTTGTTATGTACAAACCTAGCAGCTTTTCTTGTATATGCTGCAAATGTCGAGCATAATTCTGCAAAATGTTTCTCTACGTTGGATATTCGATCTTGTACAAACTTTGCTTCTTGTTCCCTGAATAAATGTAATAAAATTATAAATATGAATCTCAATGCAAACTGAAGTTTGTGTAAATATAAATAATTGAAAATATGTACCAAATGCTGCTTTGAGATCTTGAACGTAACATTTTGTTCTATATCATTTCGCAACTTTTTTTTTATTTGAATCAATCGATCTTCATATGGAATGTTCCATTGCTACGTCCGTATGGATACCCCACCGATAGTTTACTACTGGCAGGTGGTGCATTATCCCTACAGGTGAGGTCGACTTTTGAGCATGTATATACTCTCATCGATCTACCTGGCCTTTGCTTACCTTTAACTGTACATTTAAGTAGAATTACAAATTTTCTATATGTTTTTAGGAAGGGGAAAAGCGGAAAAATTACTAAAAAACATCTTGTTTTTATTGTCATTATTTCTTATAAAATAGTCTTTATTACTGCAAATGAATGAGCTGCACCACTTCCGATAAGAATTCCTGTGTAATTGTAGGGCAGGACCAGTTGTTCCGGAAATTTTACATCTTTCGTATGACCATTTCCACAATTTCCGTGTTCGTTCCAACCCCAACATAAAATTTCCCCATTCTCTAAAATGTTATAAATAAAATTTGATTTTCATCAAGTTTCTTTTTTTTTTTTTTTTGTTGCTGTTAGTTATTATGTGTATACCAGTTAATGCAACATTATGTTCTGAGCCAGCAGAAACTCGATGCACTTTCGGAAGATTTTCGATCCGCGTAGCTTTCCAAATTGATGGCTTTTCGAGTTTTATAATACCTAACTGCCCATATGTATTTCGGCCCCAACCAAAAATGTTATTATCTAATAGTAAACTAACAAAGCAATCAGATTTTGAAAATATGTATGTATTGTGTTAATTAAGTTGTGAAATAGTATTACCATTTAATACAATTACATGCGACCAACCACTGTACATATTAATTGGCAATTTAAACTGAACATCCGATAGTTTTATTGGAATGAATGTTTTTGGACATGCATCTGTATTTAATCCTAATTGCCCGTATTTATTATCACCAAATGCATAAATATTTCCATCTTTCGCTACCGCGATTGTATGGTATTGACCACAACTGACGCTCTCGATGTCCGATAACGTTAAAACTATTTAAATCCATTAATCCAATTTAAATCCAATAATCTTTGTTTACATTGTGAAAACATGTTTCTCTTAATTCTTTTATATCTAAGTACATTTACCTTCTGTAAAACTATATGCTGCATTTAAAGATCCCTTACTATTCGAGAAGCTTAATCCTAACTGCCCTTTGCTACCTGTTCCTGCTACTAAAATTTTACAATCTTCTGTTAGTAGGACAGTGTGTCTTAAACCCATTGAAATTCCTTTAATTTTTCGACCAGTTACAACTTCGAAGGGTTCGTGTGTCCATTGAAGACTGTTCGGATGTTTTCCTAATTGACCGAAACGATTCGAGCCCCACAGGAGTAAAGTGCCTTCTATTGTTAACGCAGCGGAACAATCCCAGCCGCACGCTATATCCACGATAACCTTATTCTTCAATTTTTCGTTTAATTCTCGAAATGATAAAATACTATCCTTCGTCGGAAAGCCTACTTGTCCTTTATTGTTCCAACCGCAAGAATAAACGCGACCGGAATCATCTAAAATTAACGTGTGACCAGCACCGCCAACTATTTTTTTTATTTTTTTCGGTTCTAGGGAGCACTTTGATAAATCAACTTCACATGGTAAAACACACTCTTCCGACTCAATTCCTTGTCCAAGTTGACCGTGAGAATTAGCACCCTATAATAAGTATTAGTTTCGTTTGATTTCAATATTTTTGTTTAAAATATTCCCGCTCAGAAGTAAGATTTCCGTTCAAATCTTGTTTTATCGATCGTAAATAATATTTTCTAATAGCACAAGTGCACGCGTACAATATCTTATTTTAGAAATATCAGATCATATTGATATTATTATTCATGAAAATACTATTTGAATATGTGAATATAGAAAACAGTAATATTTTCTGTGAATATAAGACAGAGTCCTACTTATATTTAAAATGAAACCATTATGAGCACATGCGATAAAAATAACTTATTACATTACCCACGACATTAAGGAATAGGACATTGCTATAATTATGTCTGGAAATTGTTACTTATTAATATATTAAAACACCCAACCAAAAAATGAATAAACTAAAAAATAGATAATTGTACACTGAAGCACGGATAAAACATAAAATAGACCTATCATTTTGTGGAATTTTGTGTCATAAGTCATAGGAACTGAAATATCGAGTTTTTCTCTGCCCTCTACAATTTAAAGTAGTAAATTAATGAATTATATTCAGCATATCTCGTCTGTATGTACATTAGATCGGTAAGGTTGGAGATGACACTAATGTGGTAAGAGAATGTTGTTAGCTGATAAAAGATTGTAATTGCGTAAGTGATCTACACTATGTCTCGTCTATGACTGAATGTATTTCCATCATAGGACATACGATATAGGTGGCGGCAAAACCTAAAGCATACAGATTTCTTGTTTAACTTATTAGTTTTGTTTATACAAACATGAATTCTTTCCATAATATGTACAAAATCATTTTTTAATAAATTTTGCTGATCATAACATTGGGTAAATTACTGATGGAACATATACAATGGAAGAATCGTTAAAGTTTGATATTAAGGAGGTTAAAACCGATCTTTTGCGCGCGATAAATGAATGTTCCCAACGCGGATTATTACATACCACAAAATGGTATGTACAGTTCCTGATATAAATTTAAGTAAAATCTTTATTCCATTACTATAGGAAGGATCAAAAATATGTTATCTTTATAGGCTAGCAGAATTAAGTTATTCCTTGAAAGATGTTAAATTAAATATACATGACACTACTGTTGACTTGTATTTATCAGAGACAAGCGAAGAGGAAGACACGTATATTTTAGCAAAAACTTATTTTGATTTGAAAGAATATGATAGAGCTGCCTATTTCACCGAGCAGTGTAAAACATCAAAAGTTCGATTTTTACATCTGTATTCTCGCTATTTATCAGGCGAAAAGAAAAAAATAGATGACATGACAGTGGTGCCTCCAGATCCTTTGAAAAACGAAAGTTTAAGATTGTTATGTGCTGACTTAAGAAAAGATCACCTGGCAAATAAACTTGATGGTTTTAGTCTTTATCTTTTTGGTGTAACTTTAAAAAAATTACAACTTACCAGGGAAGCCATGGATGTGCTGGTTGATGCAACGCATAAGCAACCCATGCATTGGGGATCTTGGTTAGAATTAGCTTCTTTAATCACTGACAGGGAGAAGCTTGAAAATTTGTGCTTACCTAATCATTGGATGAAGCATTTTTTTATGGCTCATATGTATTTAGAACTGCAATTAATAGATGAGGGTTTAGCATTATATTACGAATTACAATCAATGGGGTTTGCAAAAAATGGTTACGTACTTGCTCAAACTGCAATGACTGTAAACTACAGAAGAGGTAAATCAACTTCTCAATCAAATTGTTAACAAGGACTTTAACTATTATGGCCTGTTACATTATAATATTATCATTTTAGATGTTGATAATGCTATAGAAACATTTAAGAGGATAATAAAAGCAGATCCTTATTGTTTAGACAATATGGATACATATTCTAATATCCTCTATGTGAAAGAAATGAAAGTTGAGCTGGCATATTTAGCTCACAGAGCAACAGAAATTGATAAATACAGGTTAGAAACATGTTGCATAGTAGGTAAGTTTATCGTATTTTAATATAAAAAAGTTATAGATTTACTAGTTTGCTGTTTAATTAAAGCAGTATCTTTTAGGAAATTATTATAGTTTAAGAGGAGATCATCAAAAAGCATCGATGTATTTCCATAGAGCATTAAAATTAAATCCACAATATCTTTCTGCTTGGACATTACTTGGTCATGAGTTTATGGAAATGAGAAATACCAATGGTGCTATTCATAGCTATAGACAAGCTATTGGTATGTATTATCTGTATGTACGTATAAAATGAAATACGAGCATCTATTTATTTACCCATTTTTTTATATAGAAGTCAATAAGCGGGATTACAGAGCATGGTACGGTTTGGGTCAGACATATGAAATTTTAAAAATGCCGTTCTATGCACTGTATTATTATAAACAGGCTCAATTACTAAGGCCACATGATAGTAGAATGGTACAGGCATTAGGAGAAGCATATGAGAAACAAAATAAAATACAAGACGCGTTAAAATGTTATTATAAAGCATGCAATGTTGGTGATATCGAAGGAATGGCATTGCTGAAATTAGCCACGTATGTATTAAAGTTCAACATTTTTTATTGCGAAATGTGTTAAAATTGAAATATGCTTTAATACACTGTAGGTTATATGAAAAATTAGGTGAACATGATCATGCAGCAGCAGCGTATACGGATTTTGTGATGGATGAATTTATAAATGCGGATAGAACTGACTTAAGCCATGCATACAAATATTTAACTCAGTATCATTTAAAACGAGAACAATTGGACCATGCTAATCATTATGCTCAGAAATGTTTGCAATTTGACGAGACAAAAGAAGAAGCTAAAGCATTGCTAAGAACGATTGCACAAAAGAGGGGAAAATTTGAACATTCGATGGTGGTAATTATAGAATATTTATGATATCTTACATTCATTCAGTGTTAACAAATTTTTAATATTGTATCTATTACAGGTGGAAGATATGAATGAAACAGACCCGGTTATCGAACAAGGGGAAAGAGTAGATGCTACACCAGGAAGTCAGTTATCGCCGATGAATTTGTCATTTATGCCTACGCCGTAAGATACAGAGAAAGATATTTTTTAATTCTCTAAGTTTACTTAAACTTTCATATGTTGTATATATTTTTAATAAATATTGTACGATTAAATCACCGACTTTTTTCATAAATTTTCATTTATTGTATAATTTTCATATAAACATACAAATTTTCTTGTGACAAGAGTATTACAGATAGCAATTATTTTCTAGAATATTATAATTATTCTACAATTATATTTAATACAAGTTGTTGAATTATTGTAAGTAGGTAGTTATACAAGTTCGGGATGATCATAATGAGGATATCGGGTAGATGAGGGCGCTGGCGGTTTAACCTTCGCTGGTTTCATACAAAACTTCGGGATATATTCATCTTTTACGGAAGGCAGCAGTATTTGTACAGGATTATCAATAGAAGGAGACGGCGAATGTGATACTTCAGGAAAATCAGGAGAAGTACGAGTAGGTGTTTCCGAGGTATTTATGTTATTAGTAAAGTTTGTGGACCATCGATTCGCTGCGATATTGCTATCAGGGGCTGCACATGTGCGTTCATTGGAACTAATATTTGTCGATGAAGACGGTGTATTGTGCGACAAAAGTTGTTCATGTATGGATAATAACAATTTTTCGGCCGTTCTTTGATACTCTAGTATATCATCCATATAATTTATTTTCTGGTCCGTATCTTTATCCTGGAGAGAAAAAATTAATATCATGTTAGGACGTTTAGTTTATATGATAGAATGATTATAAGGGAAATGAAATAGTAATTGTAATTTAACCTGAGATTTGTGAGTTGCATTTCCGTAAATTTCTTGTTCAGGCCACATCGTTCCGACTGAAACCATTTGAACAGCCTTATCTGTCGAAAAGGTGCTATCTGTTTGCGTACCCATTTCTTTATACTTCATTTCTGATTTTTTATTTCTCACGGGTATTCTTGAATAATGCGATTTGTATTTAATCGGATCATGTCGTTGGAAATTGCCTTCTTGTGTTTCCTTTTCGTTTCTCTGTTCCGGGTGCTTTTTGTTCCTCTCTTCATCAAATATAAAGTTTTCCTTTTCATTAGTAGGAGTAAATTTGATGGATAGTTCCTTCCTTTGTTTTGTTTCGTTCTTTTTTAACCAAGGTCTAGTTGGGGAATCATTAGAAAATTGGCTGTCTTCTCCATTGTAAACGAAATTAGTTTGGTTTGATTTTCTGTATTTGTAGGGTGTGAAAGACCTAGGAAACAAAGATGACGAATGCATGCTATCGGAAGAAGCGAATTTTTGATTAAAGATTTGTGCATTATTTCCTTTATTCGCGCAGAAATTGCTGCATTGTTTTTGAGTATACGATTTCAGAAATTTATTTCGAGCAACATTACTTCGCTTATTTGCAAACAGTTCGGTATCTTGAGGTATATTTATCGGGAACTGCGTTTTGTTAAAACTATGTTTCTCAGTTGATATATTCATAGGCTTTTTCAAAGCAGTGTGCCATATACAGCTGTCAATGTTTTCGTAGTTTATTGGCATATTTGTTGTCTCATTACTACCGTTGCTCGATTGATTTCTGGAAGAATCAGAATCTTTCTCGGTATTTTGAGGTTCTATCAACGGTTTGTCGTTCGAATTGTGGTTTTCCATTCTTTGTTTTCTGCAATTCTGATTTATTCGGTTCCACCCGTTATTTCTTTCATGATTTTCATTACATGTTACGACTTGTTTTGTCTCTATGTGTTCCTTGGAATTAAGAAATATCGAAGAAATTGCGTCAAATAGACGGAAGCATAAAAGATACAAGGTATACAGATATTTGATACCATTTTCTATGATAACATCTTTCAACAAACGTAAACTTTTCATTGATCTTATGATCATGTTTTCTTTCGTTAGTGTTGAATCTTTTATTGATTCTTGTTGAAGATTGTGGCCGCTGTCTCTGGCCATAGATTTTGTTGACTTCTGTACACTCGATACAGTTTGCTGTAAAAATGATAAAACCGTGCTAACTCATATGATTTATTGGAATTACTTGTTAAATATGTTGAGCAAATTCTGTAGTGTTCTAAATACGTGTTTTATGATAATGCGTGCAATATGAGAAAACACTTGATGTGTACCCAAACATTGACGTGCGTAAGCGCAAAACTATAAAATGTTGATCATTATATTGTGCATAGATATTAAAAGTCAGTCGTGTGATGAAATACAATTGGTGAATTTCGCTCGAACTCTACGCGAGATAATCTTGTCGAAAGTGAGCGTTTCTTCAAGCATCAAAGGAATTTATCATTACGTAAATATTGTTAAAATTTAGATAATTTGAAACTTAATTAGTATTGGTTTATCTACAAAATGACGTCATGATGTACCAGACACCGTTCAATTACTTTACTGTCTCAAGCAACAAATATCTTAATGAAATTGCTTCTACTTAATTCTTCTAGAAAATAATATTGCACAGACAGATACTAATACATTTGGCTTTTTTTCTTTCCCATTTCTTTCAAGCAATAGTACTTACGTTATCAATATGAAAGCACAGACATTCGCCTCTTCGTACACGTGTGTTTTTATTTTCCCCTAACATGATAACCGTCACTCCATTACACTCGTCTTGTTATGTTCTTATATTACTATTGGCAAAAGTATCGTTTCAAAATTTAGTTGAGTCTGAGGTACATGCTAGGTCTTCACTACACCTGAGGAACTGCAAATGAAGTGAAAAATTTAAGCGCGAACTTTTGTATCAAGGATGTGCCGGTATTCTGCTTCCTGATTGGTCGACCAATCAGTTGCCTAGGAAAATATGTGTAGAAAAATTAAAATTCGGGGGTAATTATCCCTTGCGAAGTCTCAATTGTAACATTTGTACTTCTCCGCTTTCAGGTCCCTTCGATACCTTACCGTTTATTATTAGACACCTTAAGCAGACCGAGCTCTACCTGCATTTTATAACAAGTATACAGATTAGGAAAATTTATTAAATTTTCTCAGTCGAGGTCATTTGTTACCCATAAATATTCATCGATAGTGAGCAGAGGTCCCATTATGTAGAGGCGAAGAATATAACTAGAACAAAAGAAAACTCACACTTAACAACCTGACCTGTTTGGGTCTTTTGAAAGTTTAGGATCGAGGGCTGAAGGTTAAGAATAAAATTGAATGTAATAAACTTGTTCTTAAGATTTGCTTGTTCTTAATTTTACACTCCCAGGTATTTCATCCTTCGACGACGAAATTACCGCTATGGCAAGAGGTTTGTATTTCCTTAAATGTAAAGAAGATGACTTTGAAAATTTAATTTTACGAAAATAATTAATTAATTAAAATAAATATTTCAAATAATTCTACCGCTCTAAATATTTGACAATTTCAGTATCAGCTTCCAACGCGATCCGTAATCATTAATCGCCGATCGTATATTCCATCTTATTATTTTCTTTTTTCATTTATTTATGTTATTTCTTTATTTAGTATTATTATATTATTATTATTTTTCAACTCCCCCTTCTGTATTATAGTATAGTATAGTATTATATTATAATATTATTATTTTTCAACTTCCCCTTCTGTATCATAGTATAGTATAGTCTTATATTATAATATTATTATTTTTCAACTCCCCCTTCTGTATTATAGTATAGTATAGTATTATATTATAATATTATTATTTTTCAACTTCCCCTTCTGTATCATAGTATAGTATAGTATTATATTATAATATTATTATTTTTCAACTCCGTCTTCTGTATTATAGTATAGTATAGTATTATATTATAATATTATTATTTTTCAACTTCCCCTTCTGTATCATAGTATAGTATAGTCTTATATTATAATATTATTATTTTTCAACTCCCCCTTCTGTATTATAGTATAGTATAGTATTATATTATAATATTGTTATTTTTCAACTCCGTCTTCTGGAGTACTCTTTTAATATGTAACATGTACAAAATAATATTCTTTGCAATTAATTACGAATAAATGTTATTATTATTATTTGTTACGTCCGAGGACTGTCTAATTAATAAATTGTCTAAATGTGTAATAAACCAGACTCCATCCCTCGGTCAAAACGGCTATTAGCTGCGCAAGTATAATTAATCGGGCCGCACTAATCCCAAGGAACTGTCATAAAATTAAGCATTTCTGCTTTACCATCAAGGTTCTTAAATATTACAACATACTTTTCAAGTCGAGATGTTCCTTAGGGTTATTGTTCAATCAGGTATAAAATGGGATAAGCATGTTTTTCTAAAGCGACCCATGCCTATCCATAGTTCTCCTTCGTGACAGGACCGAACTTGACTGAGTTTTTATTTTTTAACCAGTAACTATTTTGACCGGTTTTCCATTCATTGATGAATCATCGTCTTTACGTGTTGCGTACTTCGTTGCGTCAATGTTTTTATTTATATTTTCTTCGTCATTATCTTAACTTGTTACGCACATTGTTATTATTATTAATTTTGCGTTTGATGAATCTGATGAAAACAAATTAGAAGATAAATTAGATTTTATCGAAGATTACAGCTTTAAAATCTTGATGTTTCTCAAATTATTTTTTAAGCGGTTACTTTATGGAACTACTACTATAACTTTATTACGTGAGATACGTAAAGGTAGAACTTTAACAATTACGGAATACTGTTATAGGATACAAACTCACGCAAGCATATAGACACGCGAGAATGTACGCACGCATACTTGAATGCATGCATGAATATGTCTGCACGCACGCGAAAATTAATGGTCGTGCACACCTATACACTTGAATGTATGTATGCACGCAATACAAAAACACGCACTTTTCATTGCTGCTTTGATATAATTTAACTATGCTTATGTATCATTTTTTAAATACGATTATTACGTTTATCTTGTAATAAAATTTCAAGAAAAATATTTTTGCTATATGTACTAAATTATTTTTAAAAATATTGTGTCTAAAATTTATTTTCTTTATACACAGGATATTGGCCATTTTACATACAACTAAATAATAGAAAATGTATAGCGTTTCGAAGAACGTTTCTAAGCTCGCGCGCAATTCAATAGAGCATGGCGGCCATATTGACTGTGTTCTCCCAACCCAGTGCCAAGGATGTTTGTGCGTGCCTGGCACCACTGCTGTTACATCGCGGTCGTTGTCGTCAACGTCGTCGTTGTCGTTGTTATTCTTATTATCGTCGTCAACGTTGCTCCCGTCGTTGAATAGTAATAGTCATTGACGTGCAGAGATATCGAATAGTTCAGGACACGGTGATAACATTTTGACAGAATTGACACTTTCTGTTCGCGAGATGTCAAATCAAATATGTCTAAAATGGAACAGTTTTTTAAACAACATAGCAACGAGTTTCGAAAGTCTCTGGGAAGAGGAAGGTTTAGTAGATGTGACATTGGCAAGTGATGGACAGTGTCTTACTGCTCACAAAGTGATTCTCTCAGCAAGTAGTCCATTCTTTAAAAAAGTTTTCCAGGTTAGTTTTCTATATTCTTTACTTCACATTTATGATTTCGTTAACGTTTTGGCAGTCGTTTTATCGTTGGGTAAAATTCTTTGTTAATCTATTTAATCAGTAAGATGTAACGAAAAAATTCTTTAAACAATAATGCACAACATTTGAGGTTATCGTATCTTGAACAATACGAATTTTATTTCGAACTTGTCTTGATTAACTGTCACGTGAATTTTACCAATGATCGTGTAACAGTTTAATAAAAATATTACTTTTTTGATCTTTTTTGCATTATAGACAAACCCTTGTCAACATCCAGTCATAATACTTCAAGATGTGCACTTTAGCGAACTAGAAGCCTTACTTATATTTATATATAAAGGAGAAGTAAATATCGAGCAAAAGAATTTGCCAGCGCTTTTAAAAGCTGCAGAGACACTGCAAATTCGTGGTCTTTCGGGAGGGGATATATTTGCTAAGGAATCTTATAAAAGATTAGTGGAATTGGAACAAGCGGTGGAAGAAGGAGCAGCTACTGCCAAGGAAGAAACTCCAAAAAAAAAACAAAAATTAAACAAACATCAGAATTCTATATTAGAATCAGCACTGACACCTAAAGTATCGCAAGTAGAGAGCACGGATGAATCTACGACCAGTGAACAGAGTGGCAAAGAGGGAGATTATTTATTGCAGAAAAATATGCAAAATCCGATATATCATCGTTTAGAAATGAAGGTTGGTTGTATATTATACTAATAATATTTTTTAAGCAGTAATGATTAATCGAATATATGAAATAAAGTTGAATGAATTGTGTTTCAGATAGAACCATTAGAAACTGTGCTAGAAGATTCTCAAAAACAATCTGCAACGGACAAGGACCCAACAGAAAGGTTAGACACAGGGCAACTCGTTGGGAGTCAAGGTTAGTAGTATACATATATGAAATTACGATATCGCTTTATAGATAATAGTAGTAGACATAATCATATGCACGTTATTTTAAGAATATATTATATTTATCTTGCACAATTTGTGTATATTGTGATATTATATATGTCTATGTATTTTATAATTGCATTCAATCTCATATCTCATGGTAAACTGTATGATATGTGTACAAATTTTATAAATTAGAGAAGAATAGGGCAATGTATACATTTCAATGCGTACGTGTTGGTAAAATTCAGTTCATAAATCGATTCATTATGGTTAATATTGGAAAATGTATGTTAGGGTGTATGATAGAATTTATAATTTGATTGATAAAAATTTCATATTGTGTATGTTCGAGTATCTCATTCAAATTAGGTGCATACTCGTTTTCGATGCTTTTTCAAATCGTTGAGTTAGCTTTGATCGTCACTTCTGCTTTATTATCCACATTGGTGTGACACGTATTTCTTTCATTTCTTTTTATTTCGTTCGATGTTACAAGCAAACTCATAGTGGAAATGGGAACGTGTGTAGATAGTAAATAAACACATATATGCGTAAATAAAAATTGTACGATTGGAGAAACTAGAGGTCAAGGCGTAAATAACGTCAAGTTATCTAGTTCAACAGGTGATTAAACGAAAGAGAGGAGAAAGAAATAATTGAATGGTCTCGTTTATTAGTATATTTACGTAGTTTATTACGAAAAGTCCTGGCTTCTAGTACTCAAAAACGTCATCTAGATCTTGTTCTACGTTTACGCGTAAAACTATCTGTGCATGCGTGACGGAGAAGACAAATGGAATGATACGCGATCGATCGTTTAACGCGACATTAACGAACCTGGTCGAATTTGCTTGATTGTTCGGTACGCTGCAATTCACGCGTCAGGGGGATCCGTGTCTAAAGCAGGCTGTGCTCTGATGTGTGTGGCAGGGTCTGGGAACAGCCCTGCTGAAGACATTTCCGGTTTATCTGGGTTATCCGGCCTAACTGGATTCTCGGACGTGAAGCCACTGCTATACGCGTATCAGCAACTACCTTACGCCGATCTTCTGCCGAGTCCGGAGATAATCTCAACGTGGGCATCCTCTCGACCGATGGATCATTTGGCCTGTGACCTTATGAAGATCCTTTTTACCCCGGAGGAGAGGATTCTTTGTAACGTAAACGGCAAGATGGGAAAACAGCAGTTCGATAGTAACAAAATACATTTGATAAGAGAAGTTTTGCTGCACTTTAGTGGTATTGCACCTAATAGCGTGGAATGGGAGGAAACTTGGAAAAATTGCGTAACTAAAATCGATACTAGCAATAGGGGTTTGAAGAGGTATCTATTCCAAAGGCGGTCGGTTTATACTCAATGACTAGGGCGTTTCAGGTCAGGGGTAAAACGGAAACGTTTTCACTGGCTAGAATGAAGTGTTTCTATCACTGATTCGTCGTTTCGATTGTCTAAGATCATCTAGGATCATCTTAGATCGCCTCGAACGTTTCCATATCCTTTCTTTTTAAAGAAGGATGCGAGTAGGTGGAGCGAGAAAATGACACGAAAAAGTAGAATGTGTTCAAAGAAAGAGTAGAGGAACGGGAAGCATTCTAGGCATGGTCCAACTACTTATATATATGCTTCACGTTTGTTTTCACGGGGCAAATGATCGAGTAATTTTACACTAATTTTATTTTTTACCATTGTCTTTCGTTCTGATAACGATCACGCAACGCGTGCTCCGGAGACTTGTTTCACGGCTGAGGAAGTCGATCGTTCCATTTTTTGATTCCTTTGATTCTCTTTTTCTTTGTACCTTGCATCTCGTACGTTGTGCAACGCAACATTCCTTCCAATTCTCCATTTACAATGTTCACGCAGATGTGCACTCTCGCCGTAGACGATCTACATAACACGATATTAATAGTAATCGCGTCGTGTCGTAAGGACCCCGCAGAGTTTTTTACGCTCAAAGACGCGACAACTAAGATCACATTTGTTATTGTACGCGCGTAGATGGATACATAGGTGAAGGTGCTTACGTTTACCTTCGTACACACTATATACGCGTGCGTGCATAATTGCGCTTCGCATTATTGACGACTTTAAAAAAGACGAATACGTCGAAACTATTACGATGGAAGTAGTAATATAAGATATGCTTTTACGATGTTTAAGGCGTTTAATATGCCGTGACGAAACTTCACGCAAACGATTCGCAGCTATCGATAGCACACAATCTTATTCTGTCGTTTATTTTGAATCAAACGAACACATAAATCTGGTTTTCCCATTTATTTGTTATCTTTCTGTTTTTTTCTCGTTTGATCTTGAGAAGGTACGAAATGCTTCGAGTTGACTGTTATTTAAATCTATGCGATTGTAGACAAAATACACACATACACGAAAACGACTGGTTGCAAATAAACCTATTTTACATTTTTAATTGTCTCGTCATTTCCCGATATTCCTGTTTTCCTCTGTACATACATATATTATATGTACGGACTATTAGATTTTCTACTTGGTGTTTTTCTCGGATAATTTGCGCGTTTAAACGTACATTCGCAAAGACTTGGAGAAGAATGAACTAATTATAAGAAGAACGAACGTTGGACATACTATGAGTTAATTCATCGCATCCTTCATCCATTCGAAGATTATCCATTTCCCAAAGAAAGAAAAAAAGAGAGATCCTAGATGAACCGACAAGATCCTTGTTCGAATTCCTTTCAATTGGTTCCGTTGACTGACGAAGACAGACAAATATCTCGAACTGAGTGAAGAAAATTTGAAGTCGCGGACTGGAATTACTTGCAGGATCATCGAAGCCGAATGTAACCGTAATCGCCGACGCACGAGAGACTTCGACTCCTTCGTCCGAGCCAGAAACGCGCGCGAGATTTCCCATTGACCTTGATCGAACTCCACCTTGGAATACTTATCGACACTCGGACGAACTTCACTTGCCGAATCATTTGTATTCGGAATCGATGCCCGATCAACAGGAATCTACATCAAACATTCTCGTGGAACGAGATGCAAGAGTTCTGCATTCCGTATTTCCAACTTGCCCTGGCACCGCTGGCAATTCAGAATTCCCCGAAGAGACCGTCAATGGCGTCACAGCGTATCCACCATTTCCGTGTCCGTTCTGTGATAGAGCGTACACGAGTTGGGGTTTTCGTCGAAGGCACATCAAAGCCGTGCACACGATTTCGCCATCCTTAAACTGCAAATGGTGTTTACAGGTGCGTATGTAGATAGCGACTATAATATCCGATAAAGTACGAGGTAAATGCAATGATTTTTAGGTTCTTCCTACGCATGCGGCTTGGAGACGTCACGTAATATTAGCGCATAATCTGTCTGCGAGCGACGCACATAATGGGCTCCTAATTTTAGAGGAAGCGCATATGGTTTTACAAATTGCGCGCCCCACCAGGTTAGATACTTTAGTTAACATAATTAAACAAAATTCCCAACAGAATAGCAATCCCGAGAATTCCCAGTCGGACAAAGATTGAATTGGAAGATTGGATCGTGATATATCGACCTGCCCGGGTCGTTCTCCAAATCGTTTACTCGTAGTCGAAACTTTGCTATCGACGGACGGTTTTGGAAGGGCAGTTACGCTGTACAGGATTACGCGATAGAACATTGTTTAAGTTATTCTCGTTCGTAGAAAATACGTCAATGAACCAAATTTTCCACAACACCTAATCGTCTTTTTTATATACGTATATTTTCGTTGTATATATCGCTTTTATAGTCATTATCAATGGCCAGTATCACGCTGTCGAGCGTGAGATATTTTTATTGTTGTATTAATTCAATTTTTGTAAAAAAGCAAATAAATATTTTATGTATGATAAAGTATTTCTTCCGCTGTTTCGAGCTGCTGTATTGCGTTCACTTTAAGGAAACGAGACACAAGCGTATGGTTTAAAAAATCAAATCGTTATGTTCTTTTTTAATTCTTTATTTTTTAAAATCTTGGTAACATTCGTGCATCAGTCAGTTGACATTTTTATAAATACTATATATGTACTTCGTAAAAGTGACAGGAGTTTCGTGCTATGCAATAGAACCGGTCGTGCAGGGTGCACTTTGTTGATAATAATTCGATTTTTTCGCGAATGAGTATCATTGCGTGCAATGAAGCGTATGAAAGCGAATTTAAACATAAACCCTTAAGTACCTTTGGCATCCTGTTCATTGTATCATATTCTCGTACATTGTTGTAACTTTTTTTAAAAAATGATTTCCTGTTATTATTATTATTTCTTTCGTTTTGTAATAATGTAAACACCCGTTAACGGTTGAACAAGAGTGTATGTTTGCGTGTATGTGTGTGTGTATATTTGTCGAGGCCAATAAAAAAATAATGGTCATATATCGCACATTGGTAAGGAGCATTGCTAACTGTTGGAGAAGACAGGCAGATAGAAAAACGAACCATTCGATGAAAATTATCGTACGTCGGACAAAAGTGGCGATGGTCGCTCGGGGCGCGAATGAAAGTTACAAAAGAAGTTTATCGTCGAATCGTTGCGGTAACTTGTTTCCACTTAAAAGACAAAAGAAGAAAAGTATTAAAAAAATATACGTATGTACATATTTGTGGATAAAAAAATTTCTCTCCGAGTCAGCAACGTTAGTGGATTGGGTATCGTTCTTTCAAATCATACGAGTCGTGCATTTGTTTCCATCGGGACAGCTACAGGTACCTTGCAGGCTTCTCTTTTTTTCTCGTGGTATTAGCAATTCCAACTAGTCCAGTTTTTACCGTGGTTCGATACATAAGGAGTTTTCGTCGTTGGCTCGAATTTTACAATTCGGCCACGTAACCTTCGATAACGATTCCCGGTGCAATTTCTTCGGTGACACTTTCCGAGACCACGTTGCTTCGACCCCCGGTACCCGTCCGATCTTCTCCCCAGGCTCCCTCCTTCGCATATTTTTCAGACATTCTGACCATTTCATTGGGACTCCATTCGGGAGAATCTCTGCGACTACCTCCGCTTCTGTATACAACGTGTGACTCGTTTTCGCGATTCCCACGATATCCTGAACCTGGCAGTGGTGACGGAGAATGAGAGTAGCTGTCGTAAACGGGTGTACGCTTCATCGACGCTCGATGATGGCTCGTTTTTCTCAACATCGCCTGTTCGAACAAACGTCGACGATTAGATGGAACGCTTACGTACGCGTCTGTGTAATTTTTTTTCCTTGTCTCACCTGAAAGTTGAATGGTGGTTCATCGCTGTCTTCGTTACCGTCAGTGTTACTTTTACGACCGATCATCTGTAGTTCCTGAATCGGATTGATGCTGAAACGAAAACGAAAAGAAATTTTCCTCAAGATCGTCTGATAACAATAGTTCGGCTTAACTTAGCGCGAACGAACCGATTGGCATTGCCGCTACTCCTGTTAGTTTTATCCTCGTATTCCCAATCGTGGCTGCCGGTATCTACGTTGCTTTTACTTCGAATATCCGAGCTATAATTGTCGACGTTGCGCGTCAAGGGTGGTTGCGATTGATTGAACGGAACAGGTGGAGGCGGTGCGTGTTTTCTAGAGCGTATCGATCCGGTACTATCGTAATTCTGAAAAGAGAGATGGCCAGGAAATATGACAGCGGCAAATAAGTCGATAGCGAAACTTACTGAGCGAGGATTATGAGCGTTAGCAGAAGGTACAGGACTACGATTGCTCGAATGATGTTGAAATCCAGAGTTACCCATTCTGTTCTGGGACGACTCTTCGGGTGGACATCGGACCGAGATATTCGGGTCTCTGGAAAACGGAGTGTCGATCAGACTCTGTCCCTCGGTGCCCGAATGCGCCACTCGCTGTGGCGAGTTCGTTGTTTGAACCTCGACGTCTGAAAAATGCAGAGCAATCCGATGGGGAGTGAGTTCTCTCCGAGAAAAAGAGTCGTCACTCGCCTCAGGTAATCGAGATCTTTTTCGTGTTCTTTTGTACTCTTTTTCCACGCCCAACACGAATCTCTCAAACGAAATAATCTTGCGTGACAATTGATCGCTATCGACGATTCGAAATTAGTTACTAATTGTGCGATTAATTGGCTGAATTGATCGTAATTACGACTGAAAGAGAAAGGGAATTTGATGAAAACGCGCTGAGTCGGCCGAGCTACATACACAGAGTGATACGGAATCGGAATCGTTATCGTTTGTTTGAATTTAAGGAGTAGATTACTATTCGGGAAAAGCGTATCCGGAGCACCCTGTATGCGTACTCGGCGAACTCGGATCGGGCAAGAAGAAAGAAGAATGATATTTGAAATGTACGAGAAAGATATGAAAAAGAGTTTCGTTTTCGCGTTGATAAAAGTGTAGAAGCGAGTATCGGTATCGATGCATCTCGACTGAGCGAAACAAAATGTGATAGGCACCTCTGGTACGACTCTTCCTGTTGGCCCACGGCACTGTTTGTCTCCGTAATGGCGCGTCCCAGGCTTCGTGCTCATCGTCAGACGCCGATGACGACGCGGATCTGCGAGAACGTATTTCTCAGTTGACGCCACAAGTCTCCGAAGAGTTCCTAAACGACTCTTACCTCGAGATAGAGACGGCACAACGGAGAACGAAAAATAATGACAAAACAGCGTGCGTATATAAAGTGCAACGCGGAACACGTGGGACAAAAACAATCAAGAAACATGAAAAACGTATTAACACATTTCAACTCTTGCCTTTTGCGTGAATTTCTTCGCGATTGGTTCTTAATAAAACGCGAACAAAACATAGAAAATTGTGCGTCAGCTACATACGATGCGATTAATGGTGAATGACATCTAATGGTGAGGGTCGACACACAATATCGGTAGGAGAAGAGCGTAAAATCGACTCACCCAACACCTCTCATTCCACTCTTCGTATCGGGAAAAGGTAACTCTTGATGAAAGTTGAAAGGTAACTTGTGCACTTGGGGTGGTTTTAACTGGCCTAAATACGCGGACGTGGAAACGTTTGTATCTACTCGATCTATGGATATTTGTTCATTCGTCGTCGTGAGAGATGCTACTATCGCTTGATTGAACAGATGCACCTGTTTGTGAACAAAATTTTCGATGAAACCACTCGGAAAGCTATCTACCCTGTTCCCACACTGGAAATGGAAATCACTCACTTGTTGCGAGAACTGCACGAGGTCTTGATAGCGGGCTGCACGGTAACGTAGGAGGACTTGGAACACGCTCTTCGACCTCCACTTGCTGCTGTAGAATTTCATCATGTCCATCGTTTCCGGATCCATCTTCCCCTTTCCCAGAAGAGGTGCTGTCTCCTTCCTCACTACGTGCCCCCTGTATGCTATTTTTTCATATAAGAAATCGTTTGATCTTACAATTCTCGAGAAACGTCGTGAGCGAATTAATCGAATAAACGAATGAAAATAGCAACTATTAGGCTCGTCAAAAATCAAATCTCTTTTGTCGCTCGCTTCTTTCTCGTCACCCGTTCCCTACCTTTTTGAATCATCAACGCTGCCTGATCTTCCGACATGTCCACCGATTCGTTCTTGTTTATAGACGCTTTCTTCACTGAAAAAATACTCGTTAAATTTCTCGACAGGGATGGAAGAAGTACGGGCCTCTCGAAAAGCGAAAAACGCGGCGGAATGGAGAATCGGCTCGCACTCGATCTTGCTTCTCCTGACAAACAGTTTACCTACCAACTTCTTTCTTTACGCTCTTCGTGATCTTCGACGCCATGTTTTTGCGTGCCAAAAAGGCCCTCATCATGCATTGAACTTTTACTATCTTTTTCACCTGAGTCTCGTACAATCTCGAAAGGTATTCTTCGTTGTAATACTTCAGAAACACTTTAGTTTTCCCAATTATCCAGCCTTCCATTTTTAATCTGATCAGTAGCAATCGACAGTTGTCTTTGGTAATTTCGACATTCTCGTCGAAATCGAAAGCCAGGAATTGATACCTAAGGCCGAAGGATTATTTTTATGTGACAAAAGTGACGTGGATACTCGAGGAGATTACCTTCGAAGAAATTCTGGGAAAGATATTCTATGCGGGTAACCACGTTGCCTGGCTCTGGCAGTGTCAAGGACAGCCAACGCTCTGATCTGTTGTCTGACAACGTCTCGATAAAAACCACGAGGCGCCCCTTCGAGATCGGATCTTATGCACCTGATGAAATGGATACCACTACTTCCGCCACCTGCCGAAAGGTTCTTAAGGATTTCGAGGCTGGTGGATTTAAAGGTAGCCGCGCACGTTCTCAATTTCCGTGTCTGCGAGTATTGCCCTCGGGATGCGGTGTTATACCTCTGTTTATAAAATAATAATCGCGAGGTGATCACAATTTTTACATTTCGATTCTTTCCATTTCTTCGGTAGATCGTCGATTATAGCGTATCACTTTCTTTTACTCTTCCGCTTTTCGTTTTACATTTCTCTACATTTATTTTATCTTCTACGAAATACCAGACATTGAAATTATATTAAGCAATCTCACCCTTGGTTTCGACGTTTCCTGCATGAGCGCGCCCCATTTGCCTTTGCTCGTCTTCTTTTCCGCAATTTTCGGATGGTCAACGACAACGGTCAAATTCCCAGCTTTCGTCAGTTTGTTCGTGAACATTTCTTTCACGGTTTCGATGGACGATTGCCTGAACGTTTCGATTATTTCCGGAGGAAGAAAGTCGCGATTCTTCTCGGCAATCTCGCTAGCGTCGTAAAGCAATTTCCCTGTGTAATGAGCGACCGTAAATTCGTGAGAACTCACCGCTTTTATATAAACATTGCTCGATCGTTGCTGGATTTTGTTTATGATATATTGATAATCGAGCATATTTTTCGATGCATTATCGATTATACTGAATAAACCTCTGTCTCTGCTCATTAATTGATCTATCGCGTCTTTGTTGTCGTAAAAGTGCAAACGTTGCATCGGTATATCCTCTTCTTCTTGTTCTTGCTGTGGATCAGGATCGTTACAAAAATCTTATCCGCCTAAAAATTCGAGTAGAATTTTTCACGAAACCTTACCATTTCCCAAGCGAATATCCTTTGGTTGTAATAACACTGCATTTGTTCGTTCATGGTGTTTACCACTAACTGCTCGAGTCGGTTGGTCGCGAAGCACTCGAATCCAAACATGTCCATTATGTTAATCGCATATTTGTCACCGCTGAAAGGTACGCATATATTTTAGATAATTCCGTCTTGTTAATCAATTTCGTTTTGAAACTCACAATAGAGCACGAGTAACCGTAAACTTGAAGTTGATAGTATTCGTTATCCAGTCGACCAATCGCTGATAGATCGTGTTAGCCAATACGTCCCTCGCTTCTTTCGCTTCCTCGCAACTGTGCCTTCTACGTACGGCATTTCCCTTTACGATCACGCAATAATTAAGCAACGCCCAATTAAATTTCTTTTCGTCTAGGTCAAGAAGTTGGGCAACTGAAATACGAAAAGTCATTTAGACATAAACATTTACGGATAAAATATTGATATTTCATACCTCTGTTGGCCGCATCGTGGTTGTCCATGTCAGCTTCCCCGTTGTTACCTTCGACGAAACGAATTTCTCCCAGATTTAAAATCGCTGCTAATATCTTCCAGATAGTTTCGCAATACTCTTCCATTTCTAAGATTGTCAGATTTTCCTTCAGTTCTTCGAACTTAGCCACGTTCCCGCGTGGATCGTTTCGAACTTTGAACGATCGTTTCCTCTCCGTTCCCTTCTCGCTTATTCTGAGGTATCGCATCCTTCTTCCCGGTGGTAGATGATACTGTTTCAACTTGCTTATGGCGTCGAGGCCGTCGTAAAAGTAGTACAGCACGTGAAAATTCGATTGATTCCTGTCGAGAAGATATATCTCGCGACTACCGTGACCAATCGATAAACGTACGATTAGATCTACCGCTAAAGTTGCAACGCAATCTCGAAATCTAACATACGAGTAAATTGCTAGTTTTAGTTGCACAGAATCCAGTAATGGAACAACCTAATGCGCGCTAGCGTAAATAGCAGATCACGATATTAACCTGTCGCGGGTAGAAACTCGCCACTTCTCTAACTGATATAACCAAAATATGGCGCCGGAGGCTTTCCCAGAACTTCCGTATGTTGTCTCCAGTTCTAGCACGCACCTGGTCGAATTAGGATTCAGAGGCGTGGCAGCGTTGCTGAAAGCGTGAATCACTTTAATAGCTCGCATTAATCTCGCCCCGATGTCTTGCAAGCTCTGGAATCAAACGCACGACGATCAGGTGGAAAAACAGCTTGTTCGGTTTACGCGATTCAGCCGATAATCGCTTACTTTTCCTAGATACATGAGATGTCGGACAAGGTGCATCAGGTTGGTCGTTTTCCCCGAATTGCTCTCGCCGGCTAGTAAAATATGTTGAGCCTCTTCGTTGTGCAGCACGTCTTGGTAGGCGCTGTCGGCTACAGAGTATATGTGAGGCGCGTTATCCGATCGCGACTTGAATTGGTATTTCGTGTGATACTGGAATCAAGGGAAGTATCGATAATTAGTGCGATTTCGTTTGACGGTTTAGATCGGTGCACGATTCTTACATCGGACCCGTAAATGTCCTGTTGCTCGTTCGGATTTAAAATCAAAAGGATATCGCCAATAAAGCTGTGGTAGTAACCTTGCCGCAATCTCTCGTGTAGTTCGTCCAAAATCGTATCTTCCGTGAGCGTCTCGAGAGCGGCTAGATCTTCCATGAACATAGGTTCTAGAGGGTCTGTTTGATGAGTCTGGAGGAGAGATAAAAGAAAAGTATATCCAGCGACAATAGACGCGTCACGTTTGCTCGAAACGTTACCTTCAGGAAACCCTTTCGAACTATTACTTCCGGTCTTCTCACGTGTTTGCCTTTCGCACAGACGTCCGTCATTAATATCTTGATCTCCTTCGCTAGCTAGAAACATCGTTCTCGTTATCACCTTCTCTACTCGGACTCGCGCTGTTCCTGGAAAATCTTTTTACCGTCTTACCAGAAAATCGTCCGCGGATGAATCCGCTAGAAAAGGGTGTTCGGCTATTTCCGCCATGAACGGTCTGTTCTCAGGATTTTTCTCGAGACATCTGCAACGACATTGGAATGAAGCGAACGTCAGTGACGTAAAAGTGTAATATTCGTGCGTATTTGGAGAACGTACTCGGCGATAAAGTCGTTAAAATTTTGCGACCAGTTGGACGGTCTGTACAAATTTGGCGGCGGATTTCGAACTATTTGGAACAACGCTCTGGTGGGATGCATATCTTGAAACGGTGGCTTTCCGTCAGCCAACTCGATCGCTGTAATTCCGATCGCCCAAACATCGGCTCTGCTACCATATCCTTCGGAGCTGTTGCCTTTGCTCATGGCCACCTCCGGTGCCATCCAACTCGGCGATCCTATACACGTGTATCTCTTTCCCATTTCACCTTCGAACATCTTCGATAGCCCAAAATCGACCAACTTCACTTCTCCTTCTTTGGTCAGTAAAATATTACTGCCGCGAATATCACGGTGCATCACGTTGTGCTCGTTGAGATAAACCATCGCCTGAGAAACAGGGTGACTCTTTAAGATTTGAAAGAGGACGAGTGGACGAAGCGCGATCGAATATCTCAGGTCTGGACTTCCTTCTTCTTTCGATACTCCGCAGCGCGATTTCGTCGGCAGAGTAGACATCGGTACCTTCTCGACCTTCGCGGGCATTTATTTCGCGTGTAATTTGCCGGCATTAAACGTCAACGTGGCCTGATTTACCGCACGAGCGACCGTGGACGAATCGCTACTGGGTCCATGGAACACGTACCAACTCGAACAAGAAGGCGACGTCCGAAGAGAAGAAGAAGGGGTTGCGTGCACTTTACGAGAAAGGATGGTAAGACGAGCAAAGAGAGACAAAGAAAGAGAAGAACGAAGCACGTAGGAAATCCCGCACGTGTGCGCCATAGGTTGAAAAACGCTTCTGTAAATATGGTCGCTGCAAGCGGAAAACGCATCGATGTCCGATAATTTCATTCGATCGGAAATCAATCGGGTCGAAGACGATACACGGGAAAGAGGTAACATATCTTCTGTCGTGTAACGTACGAGAAATTAGAGACGATCGAACGCGTAACACGGCGAACTGACGACGCCGCGACGGTAACGCGCATCGAATGCTCAGCCTTTCGTGCTACTTGACAGTTTCATCGATCCTATCTTTTCTTGGCAGCGCGTATGAGAAGTTGATTGGTCGATGGTTCCGTAAGCGTAGCACCGATATATAGAGAAACAGCATCCAAGGTAGGAAGTATTCGCGCGCGAATTCGTTGAGGTTTGAGGAATCAGGTTCATGAAGTTCTCACGGCGAAGATAATTAGCAGAACCCATCGATTTTACGCGGTCCCGATGTTTTTGCAGGGATACCGAGCCGCGAACCATGTCACGAGCACGTCTCGGGTATACCGAACGGAAAGGAAACGACGCACGATTCGAAACGGAAACGCGCGTTTTACCCTCGGCGCCGATCAGGTTGCAGCGTTTGACGCGTAAATGACACCTGTTCATTCCGGTGTCCAGCATTTTTTTTTCCTTCTAAATGTTTCCTTGGTGTTCGTTCGGTTTCCGTAGTTGTTTCGCGGACCGCGACGCTCGGAGAGGATACCGAGTCGGAGAAACGTCTCGTACGATATTAAGGTAAATTATATTCCAGGAGGAAAGAGAACGGAATTATGGAACATTATCCCATTGTGACCGAGCGAATCCTTTCCCTAGTAAAATTATAGACCTCGAGGCGGGAAACGTTCGCAATTCGCCCGTGTCGCGATTCTTCGTTATTCCTTGGTTGATCCTTTTCGTTCTTACGTTTCTGCCGCGAGTGTAAGGTCCTGTGCATCCTTAGCCGCGCGCGAGATCTCCAACTCTGTCCTTGACTATAACGCGCGCGCGCGA